AATTGTTTGGGGAAAAAAGTGGTATTTTGGGGGAAAAGTAGAATTTTGGGGAGGAAAAGTAGAATTTTGGGGAGGAAATGGCCTCAATTTGGGGGGGAAATAGTCGTTTTTTGCGGAAAGTAGTAATTTTGGGGGAAGTAGAACTTTTTGGGGGAAATAGTAGTTTTTTGGTGAAAAGTAGTAATTTTTTTGGGGGGGAAGACCTCAATTTGGCAGAAAAGTAGTATGTTTTGGGGTTAAAAAGGTAATTTTGGGGGGAAGTGGTATTTTTTTAGGGGGAGTGGGATTGAGGGGGGGAGGGGAACCGACCGCCCCCTGATTTTGGGGTAAAACCGCCCCGTTTTGGGGCAAAGCCTTCCCGCGTATATGGAAAAGTCAGCGGTTTGGGGCAAAAGTGCCCTATTTTGGGGAAAGATCGCCCTGTTTTGGGGCAAAAGGCGCCTGTGTGTGCAAAAATCAGCATTTTTGGGCAAAGAACCCCCCGTTTGGGCGCAAATTCAGCATTTTTGGGCAAAGAACCCCCCGTTTGGGTAGAAATTGAGCATTTTTGGGCAAAGAACCCCCCGTTTGGGTGCAAATTCAGCATTTTTGGGCAAAGAACCCCCCGTTTGGGCGCAAATTCAGCATTTTTGGGCAAAGAAATCCCCTCCTATAGCTTCTACCAGACCAGTAGCAGACCAGTATGGGACCAGTACCGCCACCACATAGCCGCCTCTGTAGGACCAGTACCAGTATTGCAACTGGTACCAGTACTGGACCCCCCCACACCAGTTGCCCCATACTGGGCCAGTACCAGCACCCCACAGCCGCCCCATAGCCACTCCTGCAGGACTGGTACCAGTACCAGACCAGTATGAGACCAGTACCGGCACCCCACAGCTGCCCCATAGCCATTTCTGCAAGACCAGTACCAGACCAGTACTAACTGGGACCAGTAACAGCATCCCACAGCCGCCCCATAGCCGTTTCTGTGGCACCAGTACTGGACCAGTATGAACTGGGACCAGTATCAGCACCCCACTGCCGCCCCATAGCCACTTCTGCGGAACCAGTACTGCACCAGTACCAACTGGGACCAGTACGGGACCAGTACCGGCACCCCATAACTGCTTCTGTAGAACCAGTACCGCACCAGTACCAACTGGGACCAGTACCGGCACCCCACTGCCACCCCAAAGCCGCTTTTGCAGGACCAGTACCACACCAGTATGAACTGGGACCAGTACCAGACCAGTACCGGCACCCCACAGCTGCGCCATAGCTGCTTCTACGGGACCAGTACTGGACCAGTACCGGACCAGTACCAACTGGGACCAGTATCGGACCAGTACTGGGACTCCACAGCTGCCCCATAGTCGCTACGGCAGAACCAGTACTGGTCCAGTACTAACTGGGACCAGCACGGGACCAGTACCAGCACCCCACAGCTGCTTCTACGGGACCAGTACTGGACCAGTACGAACTGGGACCAGTACCAACACCCCACAGCCGCTTCCGGGGGACCAGTACCTACTGGTACCAGTATGGGACCAGTACCAGCACCCCACAGCTGCTTCTACGGGACCAGTACTGGACCAGGACCGCCACCCCATAGCCACTATTGCAGGACCAGTACCGGACCAGTACCAGACCAGTACCAACTGGGACCAGTCCCAGACCAGTCCCGGCCCCCCACAGCCACCCCATAGCCACTTCTGTAGAACCAGTACCAGACCAGTTCCAACTGGGACCAGTACCAGACCAGTACCGGCACCCCACAGCCACTGCTGGACCAGTACCAACTGGGACCAGTACCGGCACCCCCCAGCCACCCCATAGCCACTTCTGTAGAACCAGTACCAGACCAGTTCCAACTGGGACCAGTCCCAGACCAGTACCGGCACCCCACAGCCACTGCTGGACCAGTACCAACTGGGACCAGTACCGGCACCCCCCAGCCACCCCATAGCCACTTCTGTAGAACCAGTACCAGACCAGTTCCAACTGGGACCAGTCCCAGACCAGTACCGGCACCCCACAGCCACTGCTGGACCAGTACCAACTGGGACCAGTACCGGCACCCCCCAGCCACCCCATAGCCACTTCTGTAGAACCAGTACCAGACCAGTTCCAACTGGGACCAGTCCCAGACCAGTACCGGCACCCCACAGCCACTGCTGGACCAGTACCAACTGGGACCAGTACCGGCACCCCCCAGCCACCCCATAGCCACTTCTGTAGAACCAGTACCAGACCAGTTCCAACTGGGACCAGTCCCAGACCAGTACCGGCACCCCACAGCCACTGCTGGACCAGTACCAACTGGGACCAGTACCGGCACCCCCCAGCCACCCCATAGCCACTTCTGTAGAACCAGTACCAGACCAGTTCCAACTGGGACCAGTCCCAGACCAGTACCGGCACCCCACAGCCACTGCTGGACCAGTACCAACTGGGACCAGTACCGGCACCCCCCAGCCACCCCATAGCCACTTCTGTAGAACCAGTACCAGACCAGTTCCAACTGGGACCAGTCCCAGACCAGTACCGGCACCCCACAGCCACTGCTGGACCAGTACCAACTGGGACCAGTACCGGCACCCCCCAGCCACCCCATAGCCACTTCTGTAGAACCAGTACCAGACCAGTTCCAACTGGGACCAGTCCCAGACCAGTACCGGCACCCCACAGCCACTGCTGGACCAGTACCAACTGGGACCAGTACCGGCACCCCCCAGCCACCCCATAGCCACTTCTGTAGAACCAGTACCAGACCAGTTCCAACTGGGACCAGTCCCAGACCAGTACCGGCACCCCACAGCCACTGCTGGACCAGTACCAACTGGGACCAGTACCGGCACCCCCCAGCCACCCCATAGCCACTTCTGTAGAACCAGTACCAGACCAGTTCCAACTGGGACCAGTCCCAGACCAGTACCGGCACCCCACAGCCACTGCTGGACCAGTACCAACTGGGACCAGTACCGGCACCCCCCAGCCACCCCATAGCCACTTCTGTAGAACCAGTACCAGACCAGTTCCAACTGGGACCAGTCCCAGACCAGTACCGGCACCCCACAGCCACTGCTGGACCAGTACCAACTGGGACCAGTACCGGCACCCCCCAGCCACCCCATAGCCACTTCTGTAGAACCAGTACCAGACCAGTTCCAACTGGGACCAGTCCCAGACCAGTACCGGCACCCCACAGCCACTGCTGGACCAGTACCAACTGGGACCAGTACCAGCACTGAAGCTGAGGTGCAATCAACACTTTTAAGGCAATTACTGCCCTTAATTAGCACAATTAATGCCCACGGCCACGAAACTGCTCCTCTTTGTAATCCACCTCGTTACTCTAATTAGTAACCCAGCCGGTAATTAACGCTAATTAACTCCTAATTGCCTCCTCTGCACCCCCCGACCCCATTAAAACCCCTCTTAATTAGTGACAACAAATCAAATCATAAATTAAGTCAGTCTCTTGCCCCAATCCGAAAGCTTAATTAATTGCCACGTGGCTAATTAGCCGGGGTGATTCATTAATTAATGGGAGCTTCTTAACTTGCCCTTAATAAAGGTTTAAAAGCCAAACCCATCTAATCAATTAATGGAGAGGTCTAATAATTTAATTAATAGATTGAAAAGATGCCAAAGAGCCCATTTAATTAAAATTAATTAAGTCCTTCCCTATAATTAGATCGATTAGTTTGTCTTGATAATAGTCGATCGCTATTAATTTGTCGATATGTTAATTTGTCGCTGTATTAATTTATCGATAAGTTATCAATACATTCATTTACCGATAAATTAAATTACTGATTAATATATCGATAATTTAATATATCGACAATTTAATATTTCGATAATTTAACAAAACGCTAAATTAATATGTCCATAATTAAATATATTTACCGAGATATTAATATAGAAATCTATTAATTTATCGGTGTATTTATCAGTACATTAATTTATCGATAAATTAAATTCTCGATAAATTAAATTATCGGTACGTTAATATAGTAATCTCTTAATTTATCGACATATTAATTCACCGATAGATTGATAAATATATTAAATTATTGATAGATTAAATTATCGGCACATTAATGTAGAAATCTATTAATTTATCGACATATTAATTCACCGATCAGTTCATAAAGATATTAAATTACCGATATATTAAATTACCGATATATTAAATTATCAATATATTAATTTATCAATATATTAATTTATCAATATATTAATATCCAAATCTATTAATTTATAGATCTATCGGATTATCGGTATTTTAATTTATCGCTATATTAACTTATCGACATATTAATTGATTAATATCTACTTAATATTGACTATATTAAGATCTAAATTTAATATCTAAAATCTTAAGATCATTCTCTAATAGAACTTAATAATTTAATTGGGGTTTTTTTTTCCTAAAAAGTCGATTTTTTCCCCCATTTAAAACCCTCTCCTTTAACCGCTCGGCTGAAAAACTGACTTTGCCCAAAACCGCCTGAATTCAACCC